CGGGCCAGTCCTGTCGCGGCGCGGGCCGCGGGAGGGAGGGGAAGCTCGGGCGCCTGCCAGGCCCTGCAGGTGGCCGGGTCGCAGGCCGGCCGCGGGAGCTGAGCGGTAACCTTACCCCGGCGACAGCAGCTGGTCGGTTTCTCGAGGCCGGGGCTCGCCGCTGCGGAAAGGGCCGGGTTTCGGGCATCAGGGCCTTCATAAGGCACGTCTCGGGCCGGGGTCCGTGAGGAGTGGCGGGTAGGTGGGGGCTGTGTGGCCCTTGGTGACAGGAAAGAAGAGGAGGGGGCTCACCGAGGCGGGAGAGGCCGGTTTAGGAAGGAAGGTGGGCTAGGCTGCAGCTAGGGTCAGTGTTGGGTGAAGTAGACCTTACTCTGCTGCTTTCATCTTCTCCTCTCCCCAAAAAGGATGTAGTTAAAAGCTAAGGTTCAGGATGTTAATTACAGCCGAGGCCTCTTCGTTTCAGATGGTTATGAAGAATAACCCTACTTCCTGGATCCAAAATCTTAACTCATTTTGGTTTTAAGGGAATCTTTGGGGGCTTTACTTGTTACCTCCTGTAAAGAGCTCCTCGTTTTGGAAGAACTCGTTATTTTTTCTACTACTACCCTCTCTGAAGCCCCCTCCGAAAAAACCACACTAATGAATTATATTAAAAACCAACCTTAGGTACTTGTTAATGACTTCTTGTCCCACAGTTTGTCGCAGTTAATCTAGGACCGGTTATGCTTATGATTTTGTAGAAAATTCGATTGGCTTGAGAGCAAGTCCTTAGTTGAACTGTCCAGAAGCAGGTGGTTTGTTCGTTTGCATTTCTGCTTTCAGAAAGGAAATCAGTGTTGTGTGTTGTTCGAAGTTAGGGGCCTACCCCACTAATTTAGACTGATTCTGAGTCCTTTACCTGATATTAAGTTTTCTGTTTTCAAAATAAGGATAAGCAACTACAGTCTTAATTTATTAAAGCTTTTATGGCTTTTTTGTTACTGTTTTTCAAATGACAATGGAAACTGTGTTAGATCTGTTGTGTAATGTTATATTTCAGGAGAAATCCTAAATATAAAAGTTTAAAATAATAAGTATCTAATGACTGCTTTGTACAGGTTACTTCATGAAAATGTTATCAAAATAGCTAATAACTTCTAGATATCAAAGAAACTTCTGGAATCGTGGCCTGCCATTTGTTTTTTTGGTTTTTTGTTTTCAATGTAAAGCAATGAAGAGGTTACCCACACTATCAATGTATTAACATACATAGGTAGCATACATTCATGGAAGAGTTCAGATGCATGAGAACTGAAGTATTCTAACACGAGGTACCGATACTGAGACGCAGATATTACTAATGTTATAAAACATTTGGATACATAGATTGAATACCTGACTGCAGTACTATCATCCAGATAATACATAGGTATTCAAATCTGTTTCCATGGGAATAGGTTTGTAAGCTGGCCATAACATTTGGACTTAAATATACTTAAAAAAAAAAAAATCGTTCCATTTGACTTGGAATTTGATTTAAAAAATAGTTTAATCTTCAAGGACTAATACACCTGATGATATTTACCATTATTTGATGGTACTTAATTTCTGTTTTTATATTAGGCCAGCATATTAAACATTTTTGTAATTTTTTAAAAACTATACAACTGGCTTCCTAGAAAAGCATTGATCCTCTATATTTCATTTGACTTTCAGTTCAGCGTTTAATGCTAGAGGAAACTTGTCCAATTGGTATATGTTTTCAGCTTCCTTTTTTATTTTTGGGCGACGCTCAGGTGTTTTCTGTGAAATGCTTTGACCTCATCTATTAATGCAGGAGCCCCCAACCCCCTGGGTAACATACCGGTACTGGTCTGTGGCCTATTAGGAACTGGGCCGCACAGCAAGAGGTGATCAGCAGGCAGATGAGCTAATGAAGCTTCATCTGTATTCACAGCTGCTCACCAGCACTAACATCACCACCTCAGCTCCACCTCAGATCATCAGGCATTAGATTCTCATAGGATACAGTGGTCCCGGGTGCCAAAAAGGTTGGAGACCACTGCATTAACTAGTTAGGGTTCCAGTCAGAAAAAAAAGCCAGCACTCTTTTTTCTGGTGAAGTTGAGGTAGATCCATTGTATGCTCATGTCCTGCAGTGATATAAAAGTTTAAAATTTACAGACCACTGGTAATCAAAAGTGGGATTTTTCATTTTTGTAAAAGTACCCTTACTCTTTTTACAAGATTCATTCTCACCTGGGAACTTATTTCATAATTTGTTCAGCAATCCTACAAAGACCAATTTTTAAGAAAGATTTAGAATAATAGCACAGTAGATTTTTGAAACTTAAGAGAACGGTTACCATTTCTTACATGATCTCCTTTGGAGTCATTAGATGACAGCTCTTATTTCTGTTAAAGTTGTAAGAGACTCA